CTACTGACACACGCCCACGTGTGAGTGTGTACGGCTTCAAAACCACCCTCGAAAGCTCTGATGCGAAAACTTGTCATAAAAAAGGATGGAGATGATAGGGGGTCGTCACTGTAATGCTCTTTCCGGTGTACGAGTAGAGACGTGTACGTGATGCGTGTGGGCACGTATAATGTGCGGCTCAGAAGATAAAGAAATAAAAAGCAAGTTTACAAGCTGCTTTGAAACTTTTTTTTTTCTTCCTCTTTCTGCATCCTCGTGCTCTCTAGGGAAGGATGAATATACGCAAACAAGGCTTTTGAAATTTTCAAGAAAAATCTTATTCGCTAGGACTCTTTTTCCCTTGATATACTCTCTTCGAAAGAGTCTTCTGGATTTATTTTATTTGTCCCCGTCTTTTTTTTTTTTTTTTTTTTTTTTTTCAACGAGTTTACTACATTGTGCTGGTGTACAAAAGATTTATACGCGAGCCAGTGTAGTCAAGGACCTTCAGTTGGCTGGCTGGCTTGTTCCGCTACACCGCTGCTAGGCGACTACATGCGAACCGCATTAAGTATTCACTTGGCCCTCGCCTCTGCTGCTACTGCTCCCATCATTTTACTTGATGCTTTTTTTTTTTTTTTTTTGTCGTACTGTACGACTACGTGCATTCTTTTTTCTTTTTCCATTACTTAAGCACTCGTTTCTTCGATACCTGCATGTTGTTATTTTTTTTTATTATTTTTTTTTTTTTACCACTAAAGATGTATGTTTGGGAATGTACTAGGTATGATAGGAAAGCTTCTATTTAGTTTGTGCTGTTTTGACAATACCAAACCCATTGTAGTCTGTCTATTATACTTACACATAGCTCCTTAGATTTTCCGTTATGACAAAACTAAAAAGGTTTTTTCGTGGGTACAATGTACTTTCACATAGTCAGAATTATTCGCAACAACTGCAGTGCATACAACCATGTACAAATTGTTTCAGAAAATAAAATTGTAGCAAACGAAAAAAAAATGCAGTGATAAATTTGTATACAACAATCATTGTTCAGGACGATTTTATGTTTTCAGTTGAAAATCAAGAAAAAAACTTAAAATTCACACATTTTCAATATTTTGGCAAAAAACGTATCGAATGAAACTTTATTACACTACTCCTTTGTTCACCTGATGGGTAAGCTTGACCTCCTGATATAGTCATCTGGGCTGGGTGTGTTCAAACCACGAGGTATAATATTCTCCGAAAGTGGTGTCGAGGGAAAGTACACCGGCGTATAATATTACAAAATGCAAATAAAATTTTTTTAATTTACCACCGCTCCGCATCTTTGGCCGCTCCAGTGTGCACGTGTACTTCATTTATATTTATTACTACCAAACAGGAGCATTGCTGTTATGAATATGTTACTATTAACATCCACACAATTGTGTTAATCATTAAAATAGTGATCTCTTGAATCAGTTATTCATTCAAACGGAACAGCGACAATCCCATCAAAACAACACAAAAACATGCTCGATGCTATTTTTATTATTTTGATTTCTGATTGGATTATGAAAAAAAAAAAAACCAATATATTATGCTACGGGAAAATAAGCAAATAAAAAAAAGCGTCACATCCATTCGAGGAAGTAAGCACCCTTGAAGTCATTAAAAAAGACTGGAAAAGTCTGAAAAAGACTTCGGACGCAGCCCCTCGTATCCATCAGGTTCTCTCGATAAACAACACCTACCAGCCCAACCCTACAGGACACAAGCAGGACCACCTCTCCTGTGAAACATACCTGCGTCCCCCCGCAATCGCAATGACGAAAAAAAAAAAAAAAAAAAAAAAAAAAAAAGAGAGAGAGAGAGCAGTATCAGCTGCACAAGCACCCACGCAGCCTTTGGGTCAGTAGTGCGCGATTCGTCGCGTGTGTATATATATATATATATATACACACGCGTGCGTTTCTATNTATATATAAATCGTCCAATATCCCTCCTCCGTATCCTTTTCTCCCACAACAGCAGCAGCCCAGACGTCGGAAAGCACCGCAGCAGCCCTGCACGCACACACTCGCAGTCAAAGCGCGAGGACGAGAAGGGTGAAGGGGTGTCAAGCCTAGCTAGCCGAACCAAAGAAAGCCGGCTCCATGCGAGCACACACGGAGAAGGAAAGGAGCTACCGCTACACAATACCTGCACACACGGTAGGAGCGTGCGAGGCGCTTCAGGGGAGAGAGGCGCGCAGCCACCCCGGTACACACACACACACACACACACACACACACACACACACACACACACACATACAGAGATACCCGGGACAGGGGACCACGGAGCCCGTATATAGGAGCAGCAAGAGGAGGAAATCCATCGATGCCTCCCCCTCGGAAGGGTGTACTGTGTACAAGTGCGCGCGTCGCCTGTGGTGAGGCGCGTGCGCGCGAACCCCTCGCGTTTTCCGGGCCCCTCAGAACGTCGGGCGCCACTCCCGAGCGCGTATTTGCGCGGGTGCGACCGTCCGAGCCGTGAGGCGCGAGAAAACAGGCGAGATAAGACAGGAGGAAGCTGACTCGGGATGCCGTGCGGCGCGCCTTCGTCCCGTTCTTACTAGTCGCGTGCTCCTCTCTCTCCCTCTCTCTCTTTCTCTCTCTACAGCTCCGGTACATCTGTATACGTATATACATAAACATATATGTATATGTACACCAGTAGATTTCAAGGAAAACCATGCCAACGCCGAGCGCAGCAGCCACCCCCGCAGTTGATGCAGCCGTCGCTCCGCGTGGCCGTCGTTGTCGACGAAACGTGGGCGTAGCTCGGCGGTAATCCGTCATTCATCGGTTGTACGATACGTGCGCGAGTGCGTGATTTTCGACAATTGTATACGCTGCGTGTGAAAGAGAGAGAGGAATCACCCGGGGAGAGCGAGAAGGAGCATGTCGCTGTTGTTGTTGCTGCTGCTGGCCAGTGAGAGTACCCACGATAGCAGGACGAGGGATCAGCAGTACAAGAAGCGAACCAACGGCGATGAGGCCAGTGCAATCGCGCGGATGGTGGTGATGATGCCAGTCGTGGATGTTGACCGGTTGATGAAGACGACGACGACGATGCCGAGGGTGGTAGTGGCCAAAAGAATCGCGCGGACGGATGAGCACGGCTCGGGGATCGTCCAAGTCGAGGCCGGAGCATTGGGAGGAGTTGAAGCGCCCAAGAGGAAGCTGCGGCTCCCCGAGACCTCGTAGGATTCGACCGGGGGAAAGAGAGACAGTGACCAGCCGCTTCGAGTTTTCCTTTGGCGCGTGTTTGCTCAGGCATTCGCTAAGTAAGCGGAACAATTTTCGCGGCGCCGGTCGTGGGTGCCAGCGGGGCAGTGGTGGTGGCTACAACTTCCCGAACGTTATTGGCTGATTGTGCTACTGTTGCACTGCCGACAACTACGTGGCACGGTTGTGGTTGTTTGGTAGTGGTGGTGCGGGTGTGAATAATCACCAAGGGGGACGAAAAAAGGGGGGGAGGAGAGAACCGAGCAAGAGGAGCAACATCGCCGCATTATCTACCGAATAAAACGCTCACGTAACTCCCCTGCTCTCCGAGAGGCTTCCAGGTCCCTCCTTGCTTCTATAGTTCTCTCGCTTTTTCTCTCTTTTTCTTTTTTTTTTTTTTTTTTTTTTTTTTCCTCCCTGTCTCTCTGTATCGCTCTACTGTTATCTCACTCGTATATATATATTTATTTCATGTTATTTTAATTTGTTTCATTGTCGTTGCACGTTGACACACATGTATTTTTCCCGGCATCCCATACCTCCGCAGTGCTTTACTCGTCGTCAACGTTTGCACCACCGTCCACCCCCACGCCCTCGTTCACACACATAGCTACCGCATAGTCAACCAGCATCCATAGTGGCACGATTTTTATCCAATCATCATCATCATCATCATCATCATAAGTATCGCAAACAGCAGCTTGTGTTGGGTACATGGCAGCAAGCACGCTTTTGTCCTCGTGCGAGTAGCTCCGAGGGTCCGTAACAACCTCCGCGCCCTCTGCAACCCTCTCGTGCTTTCAAAAAAGCTCCCCCTTCCATCCTCTCTCTCTCTTTTTTCCGTCACGTTTCTCCGTAAACCCGGTAACTCTGTTTACACGTATGTATGCATATGTACTCATTTATATATACATGCACGTTTATCCGTGCATAGAGTATATAAACATTCATACGTGCCTTCACACCCGTGTGTGTACATACATATGTCTGTCTCTGTATGTTTGTCTGTCTCTGTATGTTTGTCTGTCTGTCTGTCTGTCTGTCTCACTAAGCACAATATACGAGCGTCTCTGGCCACGAGAATTCCACTTTCCTCTGTGACTCCCCCAGGAAACGTGCGGTCCTCAGCCTTCCTACCACCGTGTGCCAGGTGACGACGACTACTACTACTGCTTCAACTACAACGACGACAACAACGGAGATACAGAGAGGGCATAAGAAGCATAGTATCAGCAGCCTCGGAAGGAGATGAAGAGGAGAGGCGGCACTGCCAGCAAAAGTCGTCGAGCTTTGCACCGGCATACGAGAGCGAGTCGCGAGTGTCCAAGTGCTACATAGAGATAAGAGAGAGCGAAGAAAAAAACACGTACAGTGTGTTGGTATATGCCGGTGAGACAGATTGAGCTGAAAAGGAAAGGAACATCGCACCACGGCGCTCTCCTTCTCTCTCCTACTCTCACTCTCTCTCTCTCTCTCTCTCTCTTTCTCTCTTTTCCCTCTGATGCTGTGCAAGCCCATGGTGGTGTTGGAGTGGCCCCGTAGTGCGTGAATCGTCGGTCGTACTCGCAAAAGTAGAATAACAACGGGAATAAAGCAAGAGAAAGGGGAGATAGTGCGGGTAACAAACGTATTTGGATACAGGAAGGAAAGCGAAGAGCAGTATTGGGGACTCTCGTGAGCACGAGAGCCAGAGAGAGAGAGAGAGGGAGAGGGAGAGGGTGGGAGAGTGAACGTGGGAGGCTGGGAGGGAAGGAGTGAGAAAAACCGCGGCCGGCGAGATGAGGTCCCCCTACGCGGTGTCCTGGAGCTTCGCCCTCCTCGCCGCCACGGCCGTCCTCATGCCGGCCACGCACAGCGTGACCTTCGCACAAGTTGCTCCGTAAGTACCTTTTTTTCTCCTCCTTTTTCACCACGCATGTGTGGGCTTTGAATTTTTATTTTTACTCGTGCATGCTTTGTTCTTTACTTTGAATAAGATCATTTGGGATGAGTGTTTGTGATGTGGGCGAGAGGGTTTACAATGCACGGCTTGAGAGATGGTTATCCCTTGTTAGTGCTCGAGAGAGCGGCGTGAATTTTTTAGCTCGCGTCTGAGATATTACAACGCGGGGAAATGACGCTTTTCATATTGAATGATCGAGGGATTGGCCGGTGTCCATATCGCTTTTGATTTACTCATCCAAAAAGGGTGAATATTTGTTTCGGCACATGCAAGACGTGACCCGTACATACTTGTAAGACAACATACATAAATAAAACCTCGGAGGGTATATACCCTCGCTGTCGGCAATTTCAAGCTCTTACGACAAAATTTATCACTGCAGTTGACTCGCTCGAATTTGGGATGATATATATTTACGGCTAATCAGAATCCTTGCGCTGATTTATCCTTCGTGCATTAAAAAATGACACAGTAGAGCCATGCACTATAAGTGTGCAATGAAAAAGAAAAGAAAAAAAAGAGTACCTGTGCTGTGTGTATACTTAACCTGGCGTGTATATTATATACGTACTTCAGATTCGTTCGCAATAGTATTGAATTACAGGGATTGGTGAGGGGGTGGAAGGGTCGTACAAGCACATACAAATCAACGGGGACATTCGTTGGATTGCGTGTGAGCAGTTGTAATACGAATAATATTTCATCGCCAGAGAGCGTTATCTTATCGTGAAATAGGTTACATGAACGGGAGCAACTTTTTTTTTTTTTTTTTTTGTCATTACATGCAGCGGGAGCTCGAAAGTTTTCTGCAACCGAGCCCACCTTAGTAATTATGATTTAAATATCTTGGTTGAAAACGATGTTTGGGAGGAAAAAAAAATTGTGTGGCTGCTCGCGATTGCGGTTCAGGAAGGTCTGCCCCCACTCGAGTGAATAATTAATTGCGCTCTTGATAAAAACCACCGGGTGATTAACCCCCCAGTGTTATAAATCTTTTCGAGTTGGGCATGTGTACTCTGTGCAATACTGTAAGTTTATTCCTTTTTTTTTTTTTTTTTGCATCATCAATATCGTTGATTTATTAAATTGACCGAAAAAAACGAAAAACAAATAAATTGGTAAACAAAAATTTGGTTTTTTTCATTTATTTATACTCGCGTGAGCGAAAAAAAAATGTAGGGATAGATACATGCGGTACGCGCACTTTGAATGTCAATTCGATAGTCCACGGCAACCGCAGCAGAGCAGCCCGTATAAAAATGGAACTCGTGAATATTGAACAAGGTCGCGGCATTATTTTTAATTAACGCGACGAATGAATTATCTATAGCGTTTCAAGGGAAGGGGAGTTTCCGATGGTTTTATTCATTTATAATGCTTCTCTCACCAGCTGGTCAATATCTCAGCACTCTGGTTGAAAAAAAAAAAAAAAAAAAAAAGAAAAAAAACACACACACATTTTACTAAATAATAGCCTCGACGAAAATCACAGTAAGTTCAAGGGAAATTCGCAACCTTTGTTCCAGTGGTAAAAATTATCGCGAAACTCTGACGATGTCACCCATCCCCTCCTCCCCCTTATCCCCGTGAATTTGCACAGCCATTTATAATTAAACTTACAAGCAGCACTATACATGATACAGGCGCGCGTTGTATTGTGGATGAAGGCACGCCTGCACGATTCGTCGACCCAGGTGCGTTCATGCATACGCAAAACAGACCTCCGAAAAACTGTGTACCACGTGTATGACGTCAGTTGCACCTAAAAGGGGGTTCACGCACGATCCGTCCCTTGTGTCGAGGAGGGGGTTGGCTGGGGGCTAAAATTAGAGAGGCGTTTTCGAAGGTATTGGCGCTGGCGTGGTAGGCTTTATTAATTTAGCACCAGCGCGGGAAAATTAATCTCGCATGAATGATGAGAGGATGCTAGAGGTAGGCGAGGGAGGGGTTGGCAGGAAGTAGGTCAATCGCGGCGAAAGCGGTGGCTCCCCGGTGCTAACGATTGGCCGGAGCCAATCTCGCGATTAGGCGCTCGCGGCGGAGGTGATTAAAGAATATAACACGCTTGGGGTAATACGCGGATACGTGCTCGGCGTAAATGAATGCACGAGTACGAGGGTGGCCTGGGAAGTTTTTTATGGGATGAATGTTCTTTCCAATTTTTAAGTTTTATTTAATGGCAAGTAAAAACAGTAGCTGAGTTAGGAAGGACGATTATTGGCTTTTCAGTTGTAGTTGCTCGAAAACGTTAGCGTAATCGGCTTTATCTTCCCGCGAGTGCGATTACCAAACATTTGCTGCCAAGTCGACTCGGCGTTGTAATCTAATTTGAAGCCAAACGCGGGCTAGATTATATTTCGAAAATACGATACCGAATGAATTAGCTATCATGAGAGTATGTTTCCATATATACTCACGTTTTGCTTATCAAGAGTTGATTGAAAAATTTAAATCATCACGTTGCGCATGATTTTGAAAAATGCTGGAAATGTTGATCGAATAATTTAAGAAGTATCAATTAATCAGTCAATCGTCGAGGTACCTGTTCAAATATTTACCCCAGTTATCCTTGGGTGGTCAAAAACTGGATTCAATAATTAATGACGGCGCGATTGTTTGCATGGAACTGGTTCTTCCGAAGGGGGATGAAAAGAAAAGACGTCGAAGAAAGAAATGAAAGGGGACTTCTTTCAATAAAATTGAATGAAAAATTAATCTTTTGATCAGAGGTAAAAAAAAAGGTTTCCTCGGTCGGCAAAATTACAAATTCAAAGTAACTTTGGTGTGTCAGTGGTGCGTTGGAATGAAAGAGAGAAAGCGAGAAAGAGATAGAACCGTGAAATAAAGGACCGTAGACAGAGTCGAAGGAAAAGTAAGAAAGAAAAGTTGACTCGATCCTGTGGAAAATCTCATCGAACTTGGCAGATTCGTTTTCCTCAAAGTGTGCCCGTGTACGTACACAAGCAAAGCTTCTTTCGTACAGTTGCCGTTGCTGTAGTTGGACGGTTGGAAGGGAAAATAACGACAGCTGCGAGCTTTTGACGGACATCGACCTACTTCTGACGCGTGCGCGCGCGCGCGTGATTCTCTTTTTCTCCCTCGCTAAAAGCCCGCAGTAGCAGCTAGCCGTCTGTATCTCATTTCCAACTCCCACCCCTGACTGCAGCCTCACTCGTCTCATCCGACTGCTTTGGGAAATTCGTGGCCAGACCGAGTGTTGTCCTTATCTGATTTTTCTGGACTGGGTGACAGAAACTTTCGCTAGCGGCTCTCTGCACACTTCCGCAACTCCGCTCTACGTCAACGCGCCTGTCAGTCTGACTGTACGCTGATCTTTTCACTGCGGAAAACTCATGTTCTGGCTGAGAGTTTTTTTGGGGTTGAATAAAGAAAGTTGTCGTTGTCAACGATAATCCGTTCCATCATTACTGTTTCTATTATTACTTAAACTTTAAATTACATCGTTTGAAGATCATATGCTCACCTGAGTGAATCTACGCTTGTTGCAAAAACATGCTCATCGGATGAAGAGATTGTCTAATTTGGACTGCAAGGAGATTTTTTTCAATAATCTGCATAAAAGTAAACATTATTTCTATTTCTATTACTTTACAAATGTTAAATTACACTTCTCGCATGTCTGACCATACGCTGATTTTTTCCCTGAAATAATATGTGCTCTTACCAAGGACTTACCAATCGATGAAGCAAATTTTTTTATTATTCACGTTATTTAATGGTCAGTCTGACAATACGCTGATTTTTTTCACTGCCGAAAGTCATGCTCTTATTAAGGATTTGTCCATCGATTAATCAAGCTTCTCTTCAATGCTGATTGGCTTAAAAATAACTAATATTGCTCTTTTCACTATTCCATAAATATTGAATCACATTATTTGTTAGTCGTCTGACAATACGCTGATTCTTTCACTGTAGGCGTATATGCCCTGGCTGAGAATTTTCGGATTATTTGAAGAATTTGTCTTCAACGTTAAAAGGATTAAAAATAAACTTTATTAATGTTTTTAACATTACGTAAGTGTTGAATCAGACTATTCAAGGTCCATACGCCCATCGGTCTGACCTTACGTTGATTTTTCCCTATAGATATTAAGATTTCGGGTAAGAGTTACCTTATTTTATTTTAAACAAAAGATTTTCCTTTATAAGACCAATTTATGCTTAAGATAACGTTATTATTACTATTATTAGCACATAGTAAGCTACTCAGATCACATAAAACTATTGACCGCATGAAATGAGACAAAATGCGCGCAAGAAGAGAGCAGAGGATATGAGAAATATACGTGGTCGTCGTAGCTGTAGGACTACATCTGTTTTAACGTGCGAACGCGAGAGTATTAAATAATCTTTGGATGGCTTTATCGGGACTCGAAACTTCCGTATTTTCGAAATGGATATAGTACCGGGGGAGGATGGAAGGGGGACGGGAAGCTGCTCCCGGATGCGATGCCACGTTCATAGTTATCGGATCGATTTAGCGTGCAGAGGACGTAGTATAGCTATATGTTTTTCCAAAAATAGCACAACGAGCCACTGCTGCAGCCACGCTCCTTCTCGCTCCCTACTCCACGATCTATTAAATTTATGAAGCAATTAACGTTTACGGTTTGGGTGAGCCAGGTTTTTTGAGATACGCCTGATTTTTCGGCTTACGCGCTATGGCCACCGTGCACACCTCTTGAGCATTTTTCTATCTCCCTTTTTTTTAATGCTCACTAAACAGAGTAAAAGGAGCTTGGGTGGGTAAATAAAATTTGTTCGTTACGTCTTCATTCCAGAGTGCAAATGTTCTTGTTATTATGAGTAAGCTACGGTAATACATTTTTTTGTGACTGTAATAGCAGGGTTTTCGATGATTTCATCACTTTGTGGACGTACTTGCCTACACGAGATATTGTCAGAAAAACCATATT